TACAGCTATTATCATTACGGTAAAAAGACCGTTGAGGTGCTAAACGACACAAAGTAGATGTACAGTCATCTGAGATTGAGCTTTGACCAAGTCATTTGTATAATCACTCTTTATGCAGAATGGAAATCGATGCCCCGCTCTTGAGACACTTTAGTCTGTAAAGTTAAAATAGAAAAAAAACAGTGTTTGTGTGTGTTTCAGATCAACACGGCGGTGCAGTTGTTCCTGGTGTCGGCGTCTCTGGCTGCGCCGGTGTTTCACTACACTGACAGTGTTTTACTGCAGTCACTGTGGTGCGGTTTTACTCACAATCACATCCTCACATCAATATTCTAAGTATTGACTCCAATTAAACAAATGTATATTGTTTGTTTGCAGGTACATTACCGCTCTGACGACCGCAGCATCCGGTTACAGCTATTATCATTACGGTAAAAAGACCGTTGAGGTGCTAAACAACACAAAGTAGATGTACAGTCATCTGAGATTGAGCTTTGACCAAGTAATGTCATCTTTTCCAAGATCGACATCTATATGAACACAAATCATTTGTTTTTAATACTTTAAATTTTTAAGCAAAACTCATGCATTGAATTGTGGTGTGTTGTTAGTAAGGACATAAAATGTTACTACAGTATATACTGCAGGCCTAAAAAGAGAAAGAGAGTTTGTCTGGTAAGATTTTTTTAATTTACAGTAAAAAACAGACAAAAACACTGAAATAAACGACATTCTAATTTATTGAGATGCACCTGTGTGTGTGTGTGTGTGTGTATATATATATATATATAAAACAATGCATATTCATACCACATTTAGGGTAGGGGTTGTCTCCGATGGGAAAACAGAGTGGTGATGTTGCATTAGTGCTGATGTCCTCAACGCTGCTGGAGTTTAATGCTGGAGGATCCTGTGTTCTCACACACACAGCAGTCCAGAAAAACATCACAACATAGTGTGACGTCACTTGCATCATCTGTTTAATGTAATTTAAGTTGAAATGACTTAAAGTTGATAAACTTAAGTTGACTGACTTAAATTTGACTTAAAGTTTTAAACTTTTTTTTTGTTTTTATATATATATATATATTTTTTTTTTTTTTTTTTTTTTTTTCAACTGTTCTCCACAGGATAGTGTTGCCACCAACATTGTCTTTGAAATATAACTCTTGAAATACAACTGCTTCAAACTTCTTCATTAATATTTCAAACTGAAAACCACTATGTGATGTTTACTATGTTTCTCATAATGCTTTTGGATAATGCATACCCGGGTTATTATAGTTACCTGAAACTTAAACAACAACAACAAAATGTTACTTGAAATAAAACAAAAATTTAATAAAAAAATTTAATTTCTAAATTAAATTAAAGAAAAAAAAATCAGCTAGTTAACAAGGCAACATTTCTAAAATAACAAACTAAAATTGAAATAAATAAAAGCGATATAGACATATTTAAAAAAAATTATTAAATTAAAATGACAGACACAACAAAATTGCTAAAACTTAAACTAAAATTAGAATGAATACAGAAAATATAAAAATTAAAACTAATTCAAACTATTAATAAAAACTAAAATAATGCTGAT